GATTTTTTTAATACGTTCAATAAACTTTCACACACCAGGTGAAGTGCTGAGACAGTTAGTGGTAAGTCCGTTTCTTTTAGTTGTTTGCATTTTCACTTAATTGCAATAAGCTATTGTTTGCGGATGATTTGAAAATATATATCAGTATCCAGTGAAGAAGACTGTATCATCTTACAGGTACAAATTACTTTCCTACAGAACTGGTGTGTAAGAAATCATCTGCATTTGAACATTTCTAAATGCAAAGTAGTAACATTTAGTCGCAAGTCCAAGCCTATATCTTATCGGTATACTATTGAGAATTCGACACTAGCAAGAACCGATTGCATTAGAGATTTAGGTGACAATTTTGATAGTCAGTTGACATTTAATTTTCATGTAAGCCAAACAGCGCTGAGTGCTTGTCGCAGATACGGCTTTATTGTTAGGAATTGCAAGAATTTCAATTACACCTCAGCATTATCGTCTCTGTATGTCAGTCTAGTAAGATCTAAACTGGAATATGGCTCACTCATATGTAGTCCTACATATAGTCAATATATCGTTGCTATTGAAAAAGTACAAAATAAATTTTTGAAATTCATAGCTTTTAAAATCGATGGTGTGTATCCACCAAAAGGCTGTAGTTATCCTGAGCTGCTACATAGATTTGATTATCAGTCTTTAGAGAGCCGTAGATATCAGTTATCTGTACTTTTCTTGCACAAGCTTTTCCATGGAAAAGTAGATTGTCCTGTATTGTTAGCTCAAGTAGTTATTCTGGTTCCTAGAATCACATCTAGACAATACAGGACTTTCCTGTGCAAAAGAGCTCAAACTAACTTACTACTAAAGGCTCCAATCAATTTTATGTGCCGAAATGCCAACAAAATTTCAAGTGCATGTGATATTTTTCACTGTAGTGTCTGTCAATTAAAGAATAAATCTCGCGCCCATCTATGATCGATTTTGGTCAAGTTTTTCATGTTTCTTTTGTTTCTGTTTTTTTCTGTTTTACATTTTGTGCTGTAACTACCATGTAAGATATACTACTGCTTTTTGCTCTGTAAATGGTGATCACTGTTGGGCAATAAACGCATTATTATTATTATTATTATTATTATTTTACGAGTACACTATCAAATAATGAAATAATACCTAAGAGCCAAAAATAACAAGCTCGATCTTTATTTACACTGCGTTCCGTCGTAATTTGCCGCTGGCATTGCGGCGTTACCAGATTTTATTTTACTTTAAAGTCGCTTTTCTCTAAAAAAATTTCGTTTTGACCCCCATGTTATACGAAACTTTTTGCTTCTTTTAACCCCTTCTATCATCCATTTGAATAATGACTATCTTAACGTTTACACCCTGTATATAGGTTTCTGCGCTGCTTTTGGAAAGATATTACAAAAGAAACATAAATCAAAACTGCTGGATATCATAGCGGAGGGAATTAATAGGAAGTGCTAAGTATAAATTATACTTATGCAGATCGTATGCCTTCTTTGCAAAAACGCGAAATTCACGATACTTGTCTGCTTTCACAAACAGAAAATGCAAAAAGCCAGTACTACAATGTGGTTTCTGTTTATGAATTTTTTTAATAACAATATATTCTCACTGAGTTTTGAGCTGATGGGGTTCACACAAATCGTAACGGAAGCCACCCGTGTCACAGACTGTACTGCAACATTAATCGATCCAATATTTTTAAATAATCCTCAAATATGCAGCTATTCTTCCGTCATGGACGGTATTTCGGACCACAAACTCGTATTTTTTCATTTTGACATTCCATCTTATAAAAGAAAACAAAAATTTATCACAATCAGGGATTCTAAACATTTCAGTGAGGATGATTTTCTTATCGATATTTCTACATCGGGCATAGATGAATTATTTACGAAATCTAATATTGATGAGAAGGTAATGCACATTATAAGCATTATCGTGGAAACCTATAATAAACATGCACCTTTTGAAACTGTAAGAGTTAATAAGCCACTATCACCTTAACAAATGAACTGTGCACTATTCTTGATGAAAAGAATACTGCACAAGCTTCACTTTGAAGTTGAGTCATTAATTTTCAGATAATGATTGTAGAAGGAAGATAAACCAAAATGTGTGTAAAAATAAAAAATAAAAATAAAAAAAAATGTTTACCTTGTTTTATAAAGTATCCTTCCGACAAGTATTTAAGTGCGGAGCTGTATTTGATCGTGAGGTCCCCTGTGAGGTCTTAAGTCACCTGATTCACGAGCCCGTTGTACTACATTAACAAAGGCACGAGGGGTTGGTTGCACTCGATTGGGAAACCGATCCGCATAAACATGTGCCATTTTTTATTTCGTTTGAGCCACGCAACAGACACTATTCACACGCGTTACCGATTGACACTGACTGTATGTATAACTGAACTGAATAAAATAATTGTAAAAACATCGTTCCAAATTCTTTCGCTTTTTTGTTTCCGATGCGATGAACCGATAAGGCGGATTATATCCGTTGTTGCCAAATACGAGCACATGATATTATTACTGAGACAGGGCGGTACTCAAACTTCCAAAGGGCTATAACTTTGTTACTTTAATTTTACCAGAAAAATGGTAAAGGAAAAAAACATTTCTTTTGATCAGACCTACTCACTGTTAAAATAAATGACTCAACTTCGAAGTCACCCTGTATAACTAATAAGACCGTGGGCGCCTATAATAACTTCAAATCGCTTAGGAACCGTGCTCTTAACATGATCAGGAGGGCAAAAAGACATATATCGAAAATTTGGCAATTGAAAATGATTCAAAAAAATTGTGGAAGTCTCTCAAAAAACTTGATACAAATTTTCGTAGTAAACCAACCCTTCCGGCAAGTTTTAATGACTCTACCAAAATTAATGATTATTTTATGTCTGTTTATAGCTATAAACCTGTTGATTCACTAGTTTGCGAAATCTATTTCAAAAATGAATTAAGCTATGAATATTTTTTTTTTTTTTTTATATCGAAACAGCCGCGCAGGCAGAAGCCTAAATGCCGGAACACCGCGGCTGCTATGATGATCCCAAAGAAATTTTGTTAATACGATTTTTGAACTGCCCAAGGTTAGTAGAACTGGGAAAAGCTTCCTCCCGTAGATTGTTCCACAATCTAGACACCCTCGGGACAAAGGAGCGGTCGTATCGGCCAGTTCTGGATGTACGAAGTTTGACACGGTTAGGATGGGACGCCGAAGTCAGGCGGGTCTGTCTGGCAGGCACATCGCACGGCGGCATCATGGAAGAGAGCTCTGAGGAGCAAAGTCCGTTGGTGTAGCGATAGAAAAGAGCCAGATCGCCGACGGCCCGCCGGTGTGAAAGAGTTCCGAGACTGTCTGTTAGAGAAGAGTCATCGATCAGTCGGACCGCCCTCCTCTGGACAGCATCGAGCATGGACAATGTAGTCGGGGCGGCAGCACCCCAAATGTGTGAGCAATACTCGAGGCTAGGCCTTATCTGGGCCTTGTATAGAGTGAGAAGGTCATGCGGAGAAAAGTACTTCTTAGCCCTAAACAAATAGCCTAGCTTTTTCCCAGCAGCTGCAGCTATTGAAGAGATGTGTTCGTGCCAGATCAGGTCCTCGGTGATCTGGACTCCGACCAGCCGAAATGAATGGCTCTTTGGTAGAACTCGACCGTCCATCGAAACTGTATGAGCGCTAGGACGCTTTTTGTTCGTCAAAGTACAGTACTGTGTTTTGGAAGCATTGAACTGTACAAGATTGTTGCGTCCCCAAGCAGTGATAGCCTCCAGGTCTCTTGTCAGAGAAGAAGTCGTCGCTAGTCTTCTTTTTTCCAGCTCAGCGGCAGAGATCGGCTTGTCACTCTGAATTCCTGCATGTAGAGTGCTGTCATCAGCGAAGCTGTGGATTGGGTTGATCGTGCAGGAAAGGAGGTCGTTGATATGTAAGAGAAACAGTGTTGGAGCCAAGACCGATCCCTGGGGAACACCCGCGTTGACGTTGTGGGATGAAGAGGAGAATCCGTCAATTACGACGGATATCTTGCGGCCAGAGATAAAGTCAGCCACCCA